ACCGATCACGTGGATTGGCCAGAAATTTTCTACAACATTATAATGAGTGCTACAAACTACATAATCTGGTAATAAAGGAAATGTAACCTAATCTAAAATGGTCTGTATTAGGGTTGTCTCGGTGTGAAAATTTAACCTCACGGTTATTGTGACCAAAATTACCACAGTTTTCAGTATTATCGCGGTATTATTTTTAAACGTGCTACATTTTCACACAATTAAATAAACCCTGTATGTCAGGAAATATTGTCCTCAGTTTGTGTCTAAATTTAGCCTAAAATGTGTTATTTTATAATTATGTTGTTTATTTGTTTACATTTTTCCCCTTTAGTCTTTAAAATACCAATATTTGCCCATAACTTCTTATTTTTTGTCCGTTTGATGTCACCATTTTAAAAATATTAGATCAGATGATACTCAGTACTCAAGTAGCCTTCTAATCAGATACTTTTTTATCCTTACTTGAGTAATAAACCCTATATCAGGAAAGTATTGTCCTCGGTTTGTGTCCTTCCAGTGAGCTTTGCAGATCTGGGAAAATGTCATCAGGCAGTAATCATTGTTAAATTCATAATTATTCTCGGAGAGAGACCAACTCTTATCTGCCCCTGGGAGCCCCGTAATGCATAGCGTCATTTCAACATGGGGGTGTCCGCGACACGGTTTATATGCAGGTAGCGGCGCTGCGGCTGCTTTATATAGCGACTCGTTGCATTCTCCCTCAACCCAAATCCTCGGATCACACATTTTAGCTAAAACGCTAACGTTAGCTTGCCTTGCGTTGACTGTAGAGTTGTGGGTGATGGTCACGCAGATGTGTCATGAGATTTGAAGCGTTGCTGCCTTTCACAGACACTTTTTCTGCACGTGCTGAAAACAGGATAGCCGTCTTCTATCAACTGTCCCTCGGCATTCTTCAAATATCCAAAAAATGCCCGTACTTCCCACTTTGTCTTCTTTGAGGGATAATATATGTCCTGAGCACTGCCGTCTCCTCCTCTGGCCATTATTTCAGCCTTAAGTTCAAGAAAGTTTTGGTTGTAAACAACAAAGCGCGCATGTGCAGCCGGCAACTTCAGCAGATGATACGGTGGCTGGTAAGGGTCACCGCGCCTACACCGCAGCCACGGTAAACCCACCGAGATAATATAGTTTTTTTAAAAACAAGACGGTTATTATTATTGTAGGGCTGGGACTTGATTAACATTTTTAATCTACTTAATTACAGGCTTTGTAATTAATTAATCTAAATTAATCACATTTTAGTCATTCAGGAAAATGTGCTCTCAAAGTAAAACTTTTAATTAAAATTATGAGACAGAGAATCAAACATTAGACATGGTTATTACTGTAAACTAAATCTTTTAATAAAGAAAATGCATTTTAATTATTCAAATGTCACTGTGTGATATGAAACAAAACCCAAATCAACTAAAATTTATAATTACAAATAGAAAACACCTGCAAAGGGTTCCTGAGCCTTTAAATAGTCTCTCTGTCTAGTTGAATGGCTGAAATAAATTTGACTTTGCACCAGATTCTAATTTTTCCAGTTTCACTTGTTTGTATAATTTGGAGTTTTTATTAGCATTTCTACTCATAATGTAGTAAAAACACATAAATAATAATCCTTCAAAATGACAGTCGAACAGGCACAAATATGATCTAGGACTTAAATGTACTAACTTTAAACACCAGAGCAGGCGTGACATATTCTGAGAATGATCAGGAACACTAACTGGTTCCAGTTCGATGACTGGAGGATGATGGGAAGATAAAAGATCATGGCGAGGAAATAATGATCTGACGAACAGGTGAGCGGACCTTCCTTACGTGGGAAGTCCTGATGTCACGTTAAGAAGGGGATGCTGCAGACCCGCAGATTGACACCTGCTGCAGCGAATCTGGTGTGATCTCCAGCCTGATCACAACTTCCTCGTTCCTCGCTGCCCCTGATGCACTTAAGCATCCGCCCCTTAGCTGATGACAGCTTCAACACACCTCTCTACTTAATGATAGTAATGCATGTGATGTTTCAGAAACATATAATTCCCCGACAGAATTGTTTAGAAAATCATCAGAAAAGTTTCAGAGTGTTTCTGTTTTAACTTAAACTTCTGTTTTCAACTTTAAGACACGTTTGTGATTGTTTACAGAGTAGTGAGAACACGGAGCGTTCTCCCAGCGGCAGCCAGGTGCCTCTCGTTTGTCTGACTACTTTCATAAACTACTGTTAGGGCACAGAATTATTCTGTCTGGCGCTTTCAGCACTGCACAGATGTTACGTAAATGTTAAAAATATAGCTTACCTCAACTTTTGTAAAATTCCCGTTGCCACCGGGCAGCTGCAGCAAAGACGTTCTCTGAAAAATGTCTGCGACACGGACTCCGTTGTAGTCTGGAAGTTTTTTTTTCCAAGTTAAGAAAAGAGGCGGACGTGTTTCCTAAATCCTGCATCAGTCCAAGCAAGGCAACTTCTTTCTGTTTTTATTTCGTTTTAGTAGCCATGAGCCACTGTGCATTGTTGTGTGCGTCAGTGATATTCGGTCTACAAGGAAAATGTGCAATGACAAAGGTTCCGCCGTGCTTGAAATGCAAGCTGCGATTAAATGCGTTACTTTTTTTTAACGCGTTATTTTTTTCTAATTAATTAATCGAAATTAACGCGTTAAAGTCCCGGCTGTTGGGTATTTTTATAATTGTACCTTTTTGAGGCCTAAAAGATGCCCATTTCGTGTTATTGACACTGCATGAATCTCTGTTTTTGCCAACTGTTGTTGTTCATGAAAGGTTGAGCAAGGATGTTGATTGCAACTGAAACCTTAGTAACTCTGTAACCTGAGAAGGCCCCGCCTTCTCCCCCATCCTTTGTTGTGAATAAAGCCCCTGACGAACTAGGAGCACATTGGGAGTGATGGGGTAAAAGCCTCGGAGGAGGTTTTTCCCTGTGTTAACTCTCCATATTTTGGGGACTCAGGGTAAAATGTCTTCCTTGTTGTCATGTGTGTTATTTCAGGTTTCAGGGTTATGGAGATTAAATATTACCTAACATTCTGTTCTCCTGATGGAGAATGCGGGTATGCAGAGCTGGTAAGGTGAAGGCTTTGAGGCTGGAACAGAGGGGGGCTGGTTAGCTCCATGGAGGGGTTTGGTTGAGTCCAGCTCTCACATGACGATTCATAGACATTACAAATAATCTCTCTCTCTCTCTGTGTCGTCCTTTTAAGGTAATATGGGATAAATCCAAATTACCTTACACTGGCCCTATATTATTGTCAACTTTTTTTACCGGGGTTTACCGCTACACCGGTTACCGTGACAACCCTACCTGATCGGTCTGCTTTGATCTATTTTGAAAACTCCGATCAAAACCGATAGGGGCACTATCGGCCGATTGGGATCAAATGCCGATCCATCGGTGCATCCCTAAACATAACGTACAGACTTGGTTGTGGTCAAGCGGCTGGTTTCTATAGATCTATGGCCGACTTCATAACAGTTAAAAGTGAGGATCTCCACTAGCTGTTATGTTGAATCCAAATTCCATTTATTCGTTTTTCAGTTCCTAGAGATTCTAGAATTTGTACACATTTTTAACTGATTTAGGTTCATTTTTGATAGAACTTTACAATACTAACCACTAATTCCTTCTGTGGTACATTCACATATAAGTCTGATTACTAACACTGATTAACTTCTTGTGTTCATTAGGGCTGTAGCGAAGCCTCGATGACGTCGACTGCTTGATTCTAAAAATTCGTCGACGTCAGATCCGGTAGTCGACGCACCACGCCCACTTGTTGCATCCCCAGGAGTTTGTAAATGGAGGAAGAATATACCTGTTTTTCCTCTAGTTCGCCCTCTTCTCCGCCCTCACTAACATCACCGCCAAATACCGAAGAACCGGAACAATGTCCGTCCGCTACTAGATTTCTTTCCTGTTTTGCCCGCCTTCGTGTCCCAGCAACAGACAACTTCCGGGGTCAGATGTGCTGCTTCGTCTCCATCGCCGCTTCTTAAAGGAGCTTCTTTCAGACATTAGGAGAGCTGTTTTGGTGGTAGCAGTCTCCTCCATGCTGGTCTGTTTGCTGCTGGGTTTTTTCGGTTTATTTAAACTTGGTAACTTGAACTTAACGTTGGTAAAGCTACTGTTAGCATTTTCGCTAACAGCTTCTTGCATTTGGATTAGCCGTTACGTTTTTGGTTTAGAGTTAAATCTTTTTTGTGGTGCAGATCTCCCTTTTACTACATTTAGAGTGTTGTGGGTTTTCAGTTTAGTTTAAAATATCAACTTGAGTTTGGTTTAACCGCTCAGTTTGGACCTTTGGAGATCCTTATTTTGGTCCAGAACCCAGTAATCTTTGCCCAGTGGGACATCCCTACTTATCTGTACTTTTGTTTTAATTTCCCACAGGCAGAATTAGTTTTATTATTCCCAACCTGTGGATGGAAAGATTTATGTTTGTTGTTGTAAATAAACCTGATCATCATTTTAACTTTTAAATCCCGTTATTGTCCCTTCCTTTTTGCACACGAGCCAAACTCCCCAGGAAGGGTCGTAACACCACTCGCCTCACGCACATAAGTGACCAAAACAAAGCAGCATGGAGACACTCCGTCTCCAACCACCTCTCAGGCAGCAGCCTGCACTGCCAAGTTCTACACGTCACCAGAACATAACCAACCGCAGCACAATAAAAGCAGTGTTATACAAAATGGAAGGTCTGTAGTGTTTATTCTCTTACAGTAACAATTTATCAATTTTTTTGAGGAATTTATTAGATTTTTTGGTTTTTATTAACTGTGCAATAGAAAAATAATCATTAGATTAATTGTCTAAATAGTCATTAGAATAGTCGACTATTCGATAAAATAATCGTCAGAATAATCGTTTTAAAAATAATCGTTTACCCCCAGCCCTAGTGTTTATTCTTCTATTTTATTTCTAGTTCTTTTATGAATACATTTCTTTACATAAATATTTACGATACACTGATTACCTTTGGTTTGAACATCTCTGTCTTCTACTTGCTGCTGATGAAGCTGTGAGAACAGAGGTTTCTCTTCATCATCCTCACTCTTTATAGAAGCCAATGTGAATGGAAACCTGGCAGCATCAGTTTTCTCCTCCAAATGGAGCTGCTCTCCCTCCAGACTGGTCCAGTTTTCTTCTTGTTCCTCCTTCATGTGGAGGTGTTCTGGGTCTTTCTGGTCCTCACCTGCACTCTGTTCCTCAGGAGCTTCTTCTTTAACCAGCACCAGCTGTTGAACATCTGTAGGAAACACAGAAACACGATGTGAATTACCGATCGATGGAACTTCACATTCAGACTTACTCTCACCTAACGGATTACTAAGAACACTTGTTCAACTTCTCCTTAATGCAATTATCTAATCAACCAATCACATGGCAGTTACATCAATGCAATTAAGGGTGTGGTCCTGGTCAACACCATCTCCTGAACTCCAAACTGAAGGTCAGAATGGGAAAGAAAGGTGATTTAAGCTATTTTGAACGTGGCATGGTTGGTGCCTACGATTCACACCGGCTCACTAAAACTGGACAGTTGAAGACTGGAAAAATGTTGCCTGGTCTGACGAGTCTCCATTTCTGTTGAGAGATTTAAACGGTAGAGTCAGAATTTGGCGTAAACATAATGAGAACATGGATCCATCATACCACTGTGCAGTAGAGGTGCGAATCTTCACTTGTCTCCTGATTCAATTCGATTACGATTATTAGGTCAACGATTCAATTTGATTCGATATCCCGATGCATCACGATGATTTCATATTGATTTGTTTTCATCGATAAATAGAAGATGTCAGATAATTGCTTTTTATTTTTTTTATCTAAAACGTAAGTGACACAGCCTGCCATCCCTCAAAAGCTCTCCATCCACAACAGGTTAGGACAAAACATTTAAACATTTAAGAAGATTTACCAAAGTAAAACATATGTTTCCTTGTTCAACACCACGCCTCAGGCTGAGAAAAACACGCTTTACAAAAACTCACAAAATCTAAAAAAGTACTGAAAACCTACAGGACACATAATGTAATAATAAAATACATAATGGGTTCATATATGAGTGTTTAATGTCTCTGAGTAGCTCTAGAGTCAGATATTTATGCCACAGTTGAAGGGTGTCAGAAATAACACCAAATGAAATGTTTGACTTAGTTTGTTATTTTATTTGAACCCAGTGGTTCATTTCTGAAATGTTAGAGAATGAATCAAGTTCTGTTTGATGCAGAAAATAATAAAACATAAAACTAATTCTACACTCCCAATAATATTTAAGACAGGGGTGTCAAACTCAAACTCACAAGGGGCCGAAATGAAACTCTGGGACGGAGTCGAGGGCCAAACTTAATATTTTTTGAAAAAGTGACGGCAAATTTGCACATTTTCTTTATCAACATATATGCAATTTTGAACCTTTAAATTTGGAAACAAACATATTTCTGCATTAACACTGAATGTGGAATAACCAAATGACACACGAGCAAGTCAGTTACAAATAAAAGGCATCAGTGGTATTCATTACTTGTGGTATAATCAGCATTTTATAAATCTATTCAGGATTTATGTTTTCTTGATTATTCATTTTTCTTATTTTTTATTCTCCTTTTTTTCTCCTGTAATACGTGTCATCGCTGCTGTGACGTCTAACTTTCCCCACTGAGGAACAATAAAGGGATTTTCTATTCTATTCATCTATCTGCAGCCTTTCCACTTCCTGTTTACTGTAGGTTAAATCTTTTCTCACGGGCCAACAACAACATAAAAATATCATTTTATCTTAAATGAAAATGCAACATCTCACCTGTTAACTTTCATGTTTTGGAGCAGAAAACGAGCATAAAACCAACATATTTAAAGTTCAGTTTACTCCACTGGTTTACTGTGATGCTCACCTGTTCCAGCCAGATACCTGTATCATGGGGTTGATCTGAGCTGAGGAGGAGACTCCTGTTGTTTTGTTCATCTTCATCATAATAATGACCACATTAGATGACAACAGGTGCTCACATAGGTTTGTGCTGCTGAACATGTCTGAGCAGCTTGACCACGTTGTTGTGTGTCGGGGAGGAAACACAACGACAGCAGCCACAGAGTCGTGCTGGTTTGAGCGTGTCGCTGCTCGCTGGAGTTATATCAGCTCTGTCTGGACGTTAGTTGGAAAACTTTCTCTTTCAGTCGTGAACACATTACTGAGCGGCTAGAATCTCCGTTTCTGGGCTTCAACGTCAGAAAACAGCTGAGTGAACTCGGCGCTGAGTAAGAGGCGTGTAGTTTGTCCGAGACAGCAGAGCTGCAGAAGCTGGAAAAAACACAAAGGAGGGGGCGCGTCGGCTCTGCGCTGATGCCGCAAAGCATCGTGGGAGTTGAAGTCTTTGCGGTAAAATCGGCCAGCGGGCCAGTTTTAATCTATTTTTGATATTTATCTCGCGGGCCACATAAAAATGCTCCGCGGGCCGCATCTGGCCTTGACTCTGACATATTTGATTTAAGATGTGTTTTATTGCTGATAATAACACCAGCAGAAGGCTGTGGGCTGGATTAGGATTAAATTACCCAGCTGATGGATCTCCTTCACTCACCAGTTAACTACAAACCTTTCCACTAACCTGTCCTGTGTGACCCTCATGTCCATGTGACCCTCATGTCCATGTGACTCTCATGTCCATGTGACCCTCATGTCCATGTGACCCTCATGTCCATGTGACCCTCATGTCCATGTGACCCTCATGTCCACGTGACCCTCATGTCCATGTGACTCTCATGTCCATGTGACCCTCATGTCCATGTAACCCTCATGTCCATGTGACCCTCATGCCCATGCTGTCTCTGGAGGAGCAGACAGGAAACAAGATCTCCTGTAACCTAAAATGAACCAAAGCTTCCTCCCAGTTTCTCTTCAAGCTGAATTCAACATCAGTTTATCATCATGAAACAAAAGAATAAAGTGGAACAAGAACTTCTATCTTCTATTTCTCTCTCCTTTTAACTTCTCTGTGTCCCTAAATAAAAGACGATCACGCTGCAGCCGCCGTCATTGACCCCGCCCCCTCCCCAAGACCACATCACAGCACTCGGTCTGACTGAGAGCTTCCAGGAGAAATAATAAATAAATTATGAAAATAATAACGCGTGTTTGGAGCATCGGTTTGGAGGAGCGTCCACTGATCCTTTCTCTTGTGTGAGCAGACAGTCTCTCTCTCTCTCTCAGTCGCTGATCGAGCGAGTGGAGCGTGCCGCAAGACAACCCACTCAAATACATAATTCACGGCCCAAATCCAACAGAACCGGTCGGGCTGATTTGATTCCGGTTCGGTCTCAGGTTACAACTCTAGTGCTCAGCCCTGCAGTACCACATTAAGGCGGAACCACTTGGTTAATGTGGAGGACGCTCACTCTGACAGATTTGGATCTGCACTGGTGCCGCCGTTAAAAAAAAACTACATTCCACTATAATCGACGATGGCTGAAGAGATTACACTCTCAACAACAGACTTGTAGAAGATCTGCAGCATTTTGCTACAGACACTGAAGGACCTAAGCGTCCTCAGGAAGTACAGTCTGCTGTGCCCCTTCTTGTAAACAGCTTGGCTGTTCTTTCTCCAGTCCAGTCTGTTGTCCAGATGAACTCAAAGGTATTTGTATTCCTCAACCACCTCCACGTCTTCTCCCATGATGGAAACAGTGTTTGACTCCACCCTGTGTCTTCTAAAGTCTAAAATCATCTCCTTTGTTTTGTTCACATTCAAGGTCAGATGATTGTTTCCACACCATGCCACAAAGTGCTCAGCCAGCTCTCTGTACTCAGCATCCTGTCCATCTCTGATACACCCGACGACTGCAGAGTCATCTGAGTTTTTCTGTAGATGACAGGTCTCTGATTTGTACTGGAAGGCTGAGGTGTACAGGGTGAAACGGAATGGTGAGAGTACAGTCCCCTGTGGTGCTCTAGTTACTGATCATCTGGTTTGATGTGCAGTTCTTCAGCCTCACAAACTGTGGTCTGTTTGTCAGGTAGTCTTTAATACAGGCGATAGTTGAGGTCCCCACCTGTGTCTTCTGGAGTTTCTGGCAAAGTACATCAGGCTGAATTGTGTTAAATGCACTGGAGAAATCAAAGAACATGACCCTCACAGTGCTGCCTGCTTTGTCCAGATGACAGTGGATTGGTTGAAGCAGCTGGATGATGGCATCTTCAACTCCAAATCCATGGCGATAAGCAAACTGCAGCGGGTCCTGATATGTCCTAGTTTGCTTATTCAGGTGGACCAACAGGAGTCTCTTGAGGACCTTCATGATGTGGGATGTCAGGGCAACCAGTCTGTAGCTGTCATTGACTGATGGGCGAGTTTTCTTTGGAACTGGAACAAGGCAGGATGTCTTCCACAGGAATGGAACCTTCTCCTGGGCCAGGCTGAGGTTGAAGAGGTGCTGCAGAATCCCACAGAGCTGCTCTGCACAGGCCTTCAGTACTCTGGGGCTGACACCATCTGGACCTGCAGCCTTGTTCCTGTTCAGTCTCTCCAGCTGCCTCTTCACCTGACTTCTAGAGACAGATAGGTGGGAGGGGGAGGTAAATGGGGCAGCAGCATCTCCTGACTTGGTTGAAGACACATTTATAGAACCAGAGGAGTCCATGACTGAGTTAGAAGATAAAAGAGCTTGTGTTTGACAGGAAAATGTTGGATCAGAGGAGGATGGGATGTCTGATTGGCTGGGGACAGGCGAGGAGGATGCTGGGTTTGTTCCTGAACTGAACCTATTGAAGAACTTGTTCAGTTCATTGGCTGTGTCCACACTGCCATCTGTGCAACCCTTCCTCTGCTTGAAGCCTGTGATCTTCTTCATCCCTGACCATACATCTCTGTTATTGTTCCTCTGTAGTTTGTTCTCCAGCTTCTTCCTGTATGCCTCCTTGCTGTTTCTGATCTTGATCTTCAGTTGCTTCTGTATACTCCTCAATAATTCCCTGTCTCCCTCCCTGAAGGTTCTTTTTTTCTTATTTAGCAGATTCTTCAGTTCACTGGTGATCCAGCGTTTGTTATTAGTGAAACATCTCACGGTTCTTGTGGGTATGATATTGTCCACACAAAAGTTTATATAGTCAATCACACCTCCAGTCATGGCATTGATGTCCTCTTCATATCCTTGGCAGACAGTCATCCAATCTGTGGTCTCAAAACAACTCTGCAGGGCTTCTTCAGCATCCTGTGACCATTTTCTCACAGTTCTTCTTGTCACAGGTTGCCTCTGAACAAGTGGTTTGTATTCTGAGCAGAGAAAAACAAGATTGTGATCTGATTGTCCTAGAGGAGATGTTGTTTTGGACATGTATGCATTCTTTTCATTTGCATAACACAAATCCAATGTCTTGTTTTGTCTGGTGAAGCAGCTGACAAACTGATGAAATGTTGGAAGTGTAGCAGAGAGTGAGGCATGATTAAAATCACCAGATATAGCCACAAATGCGTTGGGGTGCTGGTTCGTAGCTTAGCGACAACGGAACTGATGGCATCACATGCATTTTCAGCAATGGCTGAATGTGGAATATAAACAACACTGATGAACTCTCTTGGCAAATATGGGCGACAACATACTGCCAAGAAGTCAACATCTGGGCTGCAGAGACGACATTTCACTGAAACATGACATGGATGGCACCATCTTTTGTTGACAAGCACTGCCACTCCACCTCCTTTTCTTTTCCCGCTCCTCTTCAGATTTCTGTATGCTCGTACAGTCAGGAATCCTGGCAGAGAGACGCTGGAATTGGGGATATGGTCCTGCAGCCACGTCTCAGAGAAACACATAACACTGCACTGCCGATACTCTGGCTGAGTCCTTGAAGGGGCTTGGAGTTCATGCATCTTGTTGGCCAGTGATCTCACATTGCCCATTATGATCGATGGAAGAGATGGTTTGGATTTCCCCTTTCTCCGTTTTGCTACCGCTCTGCATCCACGCCTCTTGCGTTTTAGCTCATTTGGGACGTGTGGCTTCAGTTGAGCTATTATTTCAAACTTTCCAATGTTAATCAGCTGCTCCCGATTGTAAACCAGCTTGTTGCCATGGTTACACATCATGACAAATGCTCAAAAAGTGAAAAGATAGCAGATCCTAGCAAAAATCCTTTAAAGAGCGGGTCAATTGAGCCTCGGAGTCCTTCTCCACCCACGTATCAATTTAAAAAATGCAACATTAGTAGGCGTTGCCTGGAGGACCGAGAGGGCGGAGCCGCGGCAGTGACGAAGACGACGGCTAACTAGACGATATTAGCTCCCTTCACTCTATGCAGTTATTAGAAGTGGAGGATGTTTCTCCCCCTCCTTACCCAGACACTCGAGAAGAAAGGGACCAAGTCTATTTGTAGGAGACAAGCGGACCTGAGCCTTATTGTTGTGAGCTTGTGAGTTGCCTGTAACTCCCAGAACCGACCCAACAGAACCACCTCTGAACGGTAAGTAGCTGTTAGCCATAGCATTGGATTAGCTGCAGGGTTTGTCTCCACGGCCCTAGAGCTAGTATTCAGCATGTTTTAGAGGTTCATCTGCTTCAACACACCTGGTTTTAATCAGCAACAAATAGCTGAGCTGCTTAACAGCTAATCTAACCTGTTAAAGCAGGAAAATCCACTGAAACGTGCTGGATAGCAGCTCTCCGGTAGCCCTGGGCTCAAGTTACAGTCTGCTGCATAAAGTTATGAAAATACCCCATGAGAAAATTATTCTGTAATGTGTTCAGCTCACTAAAACTGCCCGGATTTATTTATTTACTAATAACGGCTGATCTCTTGGTTCTAGGTCCTCTGGTGTCTGCAGCTGGTCTCTGGTGTCTGCAGGTGGTCTCCTCTGCTGGTGTCGTCAGGATCAGGAGCTTCCAGAAGAATGTGCCTTTCAATGACTCTTTCCCCCTTATTTGTTATATTAATTAAATAAATCTCAATTTATATATTTCCTGTTTTTGTTCATGTCCATAAATACTTAAGCATGCTTGAAATTAAAACGAGCTTTTAACAGTGAGGTGCTAGTTTAATTTATCACAATAGAGCTAGTTAAACATGCAATGTGATAATTGAATTAATGTAATTTATAAATATCCATTAAAATATCAAAACTGGAATCTATATGAGATATTTGGCAGCACAAAAAACTTGTCAAACACAATATTTATTATAATAATTGTAGGCAGACAGGAGACAGAGCTGATGGAGGTTCTCAGTCATCGAAGGATGGCTGAAGGCTTTCCAGGAACAGGAGATGTGGTGTTGTCTCTTCTCTCTCTATTCTGCCAGATGAGCTGATAGGTTACAGGTGTGTGAGGACATCCTCATGCTGTCATAACCAGATGACAGAGTTATCAGGTGATCAGCCAGGCTAATGAGATGCAGAAAGAAAACAAATTCAGGACAGTGTACAATATGTGGCGTTGCTCACCTTATGTGCTCGTATAGAGTTATTAACGTGTGCCTGCCTCATGGTGCAGAGTCCATATTTTGCTGAGTGTCCTGCAATAATGCAGGTTATTAGTTAATTTACTTTTGATAGCAAAAACAAAATATTTAATGTAAAAGTTATTCACCAGGTGAATCAGCTCACACGTCACCACCAAGTGTCACAGGGCCAGAATCAGTAGCCTCCTTCATGATGTAATCACATACTTATTTAACTGTTAATATCTTAAAAATTCTGAAATGTTTTAATTTTTTTTTTTTACCTTGAACAGTTCACTGAGCTTGCACTGTCACTGAGGTGGAAGCTGGAATCAACAGCAGACACCTCACATCTTGGTCTTTTCAGGGGTGTGGACGCTGCTCTGGGACTTTCTGGAAGATGAATTTCTGTCATGGTCCCCGTGGGTCACCAGACACACTGCGGCTGTGAACTCCATTCTGGCTGGCTATTTAAAAACAAAGAAGCAGCACATTTATAAATGTTTAAAAGAGCATAAAATCACGTGTAACAATAATCTGTAAAACAAATTAAAACTAGAAGGTAATAATAAAATGTTTACATAGAAGATTATTAAAAATAATTCACCTTTGCTACAGGTAAGGCTTCATGTCAGCCTGGACAAGTGCATTCTTGCAGCTAAATCAGTCTGACAGCCAGTGTCTTGGGTAGATTTAGCCTGAAAAAAATATATATAAGCACATTGTTGTTGGGAGTTTATAAAATCAGATAATATACAAAAGAATCTCCTATATAGGCGCTTTATAACATTCCTAGTGTGTGATCGTTGTTATAACGTAAAAGTCAGTCACACATGATGTGGAGAGTCTGAAATGTGACCTCCTGAACAGAATTCCTTACAGAACCGGGTCACAAGCTGGATTTCACGCTGTAATGCTGTCTGTCAACTAGTGCTGCGTCAGTTAGAGCCACTGTTGCAGAATTGCCGACTGACTAGCTAAAGGAAGTGAACCACGTCTCTCAGACTTTGCATTTAGGTAGGGAATTGTCTTTAGAAGATGTTAAAACGTTTATTTAGCTTACTCACCTCAGACTGGAGCCCGCCGTGGTGGGGGAGCAGAGTCGGTGGGCTGCATCTAAATCGCGGAAGAGCCACGGTGGGCAGCCTCCCTCTTCAAACGGAGACGTGCAGAATCGCGGGTAAAATGCCCACAGAGTCAATCAATCAATCAATCAAAGCTTTATTTATAAAGCGCCTTCCGCAACCCTGTCAGGAAGCCCAAAGCGCTGAACATGGTACAGTTGTAAGTAAATATCTTGAAAAAATCAACAATAAAAGAAATTCAAATTACAAAATACAAATTACAAAATACAAATTACAAAATACAAAATGGAAATTATAAGATAGATGAAACATTCTGGTAAAGGACAAATGTGTGAAACACATTTGGATTGAGTGGATGGATTGAGTGTCCCAATGAAAACTGGAGTCACCGCAACCATACTACACTACAACTACTCACCAATACTAAGACAATATGGAACACTAAACCCGAACTACTTTCCCAATTACACTAACAGCCAAACACTAACTAAACTACAATATCCAACAGCCAAGCTAACACTAAATAAGTATTTATAACACTAAAAGATATGCTAAAGACTAGGATATGCTAATGCTATATGCTAATGCTGAACTACCGCTGACCTCCTACGCTCGCTCGCAAATCCAACTCCCACTCGCCACAGGGCGTGGCCGAGACGCTCGTTGCTTTTATAACTTTGGCACGGAGCTGCTACGTAGTACTCTACTGGTTTACTTAGTACTTTACTCTTTAGCCATTGGCTAAAATTTATTCAAAATGACTCAAATTCTATGTTTTCGCATTACTTTGGTTTTTAGACAGATTTTTTAATTTTTAAAGAAAATGCACCAAAATGCTAAAATAAAGAATGCACACATTTAAAACACTATTAGACACTCATTTATACAGTTCATCAGCAAAAAAAAAGTTAATTTAGACGTTACTTGCTCTTTAAGCTTCATAGCACCAGAAACAGAAAAGTAAAATGTCCAAACAAATACAGTTTTTCTTGAAAAAATAGAAGAAAAAATGTCCTAAGAAAGGCAAAACTTACATATAGTCAACAGAGCTACTCCAACATGCAGCCACCCAGAGCAGCGCAGTTCCGGAATGACTTTAAAGACAGGTCAGTCGTTGGGGAGAGAAGGAGAGAGTCGTACCTAGAGTGAGAGAGTGACAGGTTAGTGTTGACGCAAGTCAACCATTTATTCTCAGAAAGATTTTAGCATTAGCATCCTCCACAGGGGATAGGTTGGTTTTTTTATTTACTTATTTTTTAAATTTTGCAATTTTTGAGTGTGTGTTAGCCTGAGACTTGAAGAAGTAGTGCATGTGACACGAAGACTAAGAGTTGGCGCAAGTCAACTGATTATTCTTAGTTAGTTTTAGGATTAACAATTCTCCTTGGGGGAACCGATCAGTCTTATATCTACCTATTTTTTGTATTTTTTAATCTTGTAATAAAATTTTTGGAAAAAGAATCCACATTCCTGATTCTTAAAGGTCCTTTTTAAAGGTTTGAGTGGGAGCCCCGATCCAAAACAATAAGGAGAGGTAAGCATATTTTAATTACAGGTTCCTGAATTTTCAGGATTTGCTTTACAGTTTGTGACAGATTAAGAAAAAGAAAGCTTAGGTGAAGAAGCTAGTCTTCTCCTCTCCCGTGGGTAACGAGGCATCCTAAGGATTGATAAGTCAAAACATTAGTAGGTTAAAATGGGCTCTGTTTGCAAGTGTGAAAAAGTCTCTGCCTGCGTGGGAAGGTTGGATTAATTAGATGAATTGATAAATCTATGTTAGTCTGATCAACTAACAAGAATCATTTTCTAGTTACCACCACCCACAAAAGCTGACAGAGGCGCAAATTAATCCTAATGTGACCCAAAGAATTGTCAGTAAGGACGGCCTCCTCTGAACTTCCGCCTCAGTATTTAAAACAATTAAACAGGAGAACTCAAAAGGGAAGTGTGCTATCACAAAAGAACGAGTACGGCATATCATTTTCACCTTAAAATAGGAAACTGATTCTAATTAGGGAGTCCAAACCATGGTCTAATACAATAAAACTCACTGACGCCCCACGAACCCTGAGAAAGCAGCGCAGTCCAAGGTTCTAACGGAACCGACAGAAAAAGACACGCTCGCGACAAGATCACTAGAAGGCTTTTAGGGTTGTCACGGTAACCGGTGTAGCGGTAAGCCCCAGTAAAAAAAAAAGTTGACAATAATAATAACCGTCTTGTTTTTTAACAAATATATAATCTCGGTGGGTTACCGTGGCTGCTGTGTAGGCGCGGTGACCCTTACCAGCCACCGTATCATTTGCTGAAGTTGCCGGCGGCACATGCGCACTTTGTTGTTTACAACCAAAACTGTCTTGAAGCTAAAGCTGAAATAATGGCCAAAGGAGGAGACGGCAGAGCTCAGGACATTTATTATCCCTCAAAGAAGACAAAAATCGGAAGTATGGGCATGTTTTGGATATTTGAAGAATGCCGAGGGACAGTTGATAGAAGACGGCTATCCTGTTTGCAGCACGCGCAGAAAAGAGTATATGAAATGCAGCAACGCTTCAAATCTCATGACACATCTGCGTGACCATCACCCACAACTCTACAATCAACGCAAGGCAAGCTAACGTTAGCGTTTTAGCTCAAATGCGTGATCCGAGGATTTGGGTTGAGGGAGAAGGCAACGAGTCGCTATATAAAGCAGCCGCAGCGCCGCTACCTGCATATGAACCGTGTCGCGGACACCCCCATGTTGAAATGACGCTATGCATTACGGGGCTCCCAGGGGCAGATAAGAGTTGGTCTCTCTCCGAGAATAATTATGAATTTAACAATGATTACTGCCTGATGACATTTTCCCACATCTGCAAAGCTCACTGGAAGGACACAAACCGAGGACAATATTTTCCTGATATAGTGTTTAGTACTCAAGTAAGGATAAAAAAGTATCTGATTAGAAGGCTACTTGAGTACTGAGTATCGACTGATCTAATATTTGTAAAATGATGACATCAAACAAACATAAAATAAGAAGTTACGGGCAAATATTGGTATTTTAAAGACTAAAGGGGAAAAATGTAAACAAATAAACAACTTAATTACAAAAAAAACACATTTTAGGCTAAATTTAAACACAGAGGACAATATTTTCCTGATATACAGGGTTTATTTAGTTGTCTGAAAATGTAACACGTTTAAAAAATACAGCGATAATACCGAAAACCGTGATAATTTTGGTCACAATAACCGTGAGGTTAAATTTTCACACCTTGACAACCCTAAAGGCTTTATTAAAATACAAGCCATTATTTTAGATTCCATCTCATTGATGAGGTACACTGTTGTGTCCCACCACACAGAGGCAATAAAGTCATTAATTCAGTACCTGTGTCCATGCTGATGGATGATCCTGAAGTGGTAGCAGGTTTTCTTTAGCCGTGTTTAGCTAACAGCTGCAATAGAAACAAAGCAGGAGAGCTGATTAAGATGCTGCTTCAGAACAACGCAGGAGATTAAAGATCCAACGCTTTGGTTCTGATCAGCTGAGGACAGATCCAGTCTGGAAAAGAGGACCTTTGCTCACCAGAGTTCACGGAGTAGAGCTAACCTCTTTTTCCTCCAGAGTCACAGTGTTGCCTTACACAGGCTCAGCTGCTACGTTACAGGCTGAAATTCCAGCGCCATGGCTACATCCCCCCACCATACTGAAGCAAAAGCAAAGCGGTCTGACCAGGAGAAAGCTTTCTACCATATCATAATTTATGCGTCAATAATACAACCACAAACACTGTTGGATCTCTATTATTATTAGTATTATTATTATTTACTTTTCTGTTATTTATTAACATACTATTTTATACATTAAGATACTTATTGATAATCCGGCCCTGCCCATCAGTGAGCTTAGCTGCGTGTGACTGATGCAGAGTTGGTTTTTATATCTGCAGAGAGACAAAAACTAGCCTCACTTCTCAGAGATTGTTCTTTAAAACTCGTATTAAATCCGCTGTGCTGACGCACTTTAACCATAGGCGTCATTTTAACCGGGGACGCCGGGGACATGTCCCCGGCAAAATTTGTGATTGGCAGCTGTGTCCCCCCCAATTTCCAAAATCCTGCTGATGAGTTTTTTTTTTTTTTTTTTTTACCAGCTCAGATCTATACCTACGTCTGCTCCCAGCAGATTTTTTAAATGTCGCAACTGGCATCTAATTATTTATACTTGAGCTTTAAATAAAAATAAAACCGTAATTAATTAATTTGTAACATTTCTGAAAAAGCGCCCTGCGTTATGCTGAGTTCTCTACCCTGCTGCCCTGCATGCAGCTGTCAGCAGTTGTGATAAGCAGGAGAGCACGTCACCCACACTGCTCAAGAATCTTTTATTCTTGTTTAGCTCCAAGAGGTAAGCAATGTTATATTTTATTTAACACCAAAAGAAGGTGATATTTGAATGCGATTAATGCAGGGGTCCTTCAGGCGTGCTTACAGCCACCCCAGCTGTTCGCATGTAGCTGGTGGAGGTGAGTACACGTGAGCAGAATTATATGTTGTTAAGTCGATTTTAAGTTGAGTTAAGTAGCTTTTGTGACTTGTTTTTGACATGCGAGGGCTCTTGGGAGTGTTCTGTGCGAAGTTAAGCTGTAGCTTTAAAAAGAAAAGCAAGTTATATGGGTGATAATGCTTCGATTAGAGTGTTGCTAATAGAAGCTAACTTCTCGTGAGTGAGTGTTACGTTACTTCGCTGTCTTTTTAACCTGAACAGAGTGTGATGCTAGATAACATACATTAGCCACGTTTACATGCGCAAAATCTCCTCTATCCGATGAAAATCTAGGCTGTTCGGAAATCCCAAATGTTTACATGGACACTATTTTATGCACCAAGCATCAAATCCGAATAAATAGTTTGAGCATGCGCAGAGAGTTGTCTTTCCCGGAAAAGATGGTAAACAAATGCCATGAAACGAAATGAAGTGTAATGTGCAGAATTTTTGATCTGACTGGGTGTTCAATCCATTTACTTGTGCCCATTTAAACGTGGCTAGTGATGGAAATTGTGTGTTTTGTTATACCAGGAAAACTCATGTATGAATGTTATAGAAGAAAAATGTATTTGTGTTACAAGTGTTGTTAGCAACTTTTGGTTATCCACTTATAATCTGTTTTTTTATGTAAAATGTGGAAAAAAAAAACCTTGAATAGTAATAATAACCACTAAATCACGCAGTACAGTAACATGTAAGTTGGTGGGGACCCCTGTGTGAGGCTGGATAACACACATTGATGGAAATTGTGTGTGTTCTGTTGGACCAGATTGCTGCCAATAAATGCAAGTTGAAGAATAATCTGGTGCCATAATCTGCTTTTTGGTGAATGTGGAGCACAAGAGTGATGACACAAATTGTCCAGACCACATCTACTGAACAGGTCAGAAGGTGATCCGTTACATTAGCTGTTCTCCCTTTATTTTGTTTGGATGCCTTGATGAGTCTTTTGAAGCTTAAAATAATATGAAGGATTCTTTAGTCAAAGATGGAGCAGTTAACTGTTTTATTAACAGAACAAAAATGAAAAAGGAAATAACCATTAAGTTTGAATGCACACAAATACAGATTGTGAACACACTGAGAACAGTAGAACGATTAAATGTAGCTAAAAAAAATTGGTGAACCAAAATTAAATGCAAATTGAACTTGATGTTAGAACGGTAATCTTAATAACTAATGCTGTGAGTGTGTTTGAGACCGTAAACAAGTGGATTGTGTATGTTTTGTGTTTTTCCAATCAGGTGGAGAGTTAATAGTGGCCAAAGATGTACACCCGTCTCTCAGATGTACCAATGAAAGCTGTGGCTATTTCTCTTTTGTCTAGCCTCTTCAGTCTATCCCTGTGGACGTGGCAGACTGCAGTGCTGTTGAGCCTCAGCTGTGTCATTGTTGACCTCAGCCAGGTCTTCAACCGTCGCAGAGCGCTGAAACTCCTTTCAGCCTCACAGGATGAGACTGGGACCACAATTAGCAGTCTCACCAGAGTCTCAACTTGTGAGAAGAGCCCTCTGACCTCTGGTTGCATCCCTCTAAGAATTTGGGCAGCCTCTTTACAGGAAGTGTAGGTATGATTTGCTTTAAACATTGCCAACTGAATTTGCATTTTTTGCAGGTCCAGTTCTGGGTACAGGCTCACCATATCATTGGTCTTTCCAGTAAGCAGCAGCTCCTCCAGCTTGTTCAGATTTTCCAGGCTTGGCTGGTCAAAGCGATCATGTAGCTGGGTGATCACTGTGTCAATGGCACTGAAAAAATGGACCCGGAAATACTCCTCTGGTGTCGCAGGAGTATGATGCTTTGCTGGACCACCATATTTTCTGGATGGCATTCGGACATGAGGTGGGTGTACTGGCTGGAGGTCCAAGTCTGCAACAAGTTTCACAGCTTTACCATAGATGCTCATGAAACTATCATTAGTCCTCAAAGAGAGAAAGCCCTGTCTGGTGTATTCAACAGCTTTCAGCATTCCACTGATGGTTTTTCCTCTTGCCTGCAGACTCAAGTTCAGGTCCTCCAACATCATGAGGATCTCTTGTCCCAGAAGAAGGCCAAGAATGGTGTTGCCCTTTTCCAGTCTGTCAAGTAGGCCGTTAGCTTTAGAAGCAGTACTGTCGGTGAGATTTGTAGATGCCATCTCTTCCAGGGCAGCCAAGATGGACTCATATTGAGTCAGGACTGCTCTGATTGCTGGTGTGCGCACAGTCCATCTGGTGGCACACAGAGGCTTGATGGAAGTGAAGGAGCCTTTTTTTGATATGCATATGTCTTTGAATATTGTTTTGCATTTGCCAGACTGAGCGAACAAGCAGCCCAGCTCGTGTACCCACTGTAAAGCGTCCCTGATCACAGGTGTGGAGGTACATGCAGCCTGTGTGACAAGGTTCACACAGTGTGGGCCACAGTGGACAAAGGTGGCCAATGGTTGCTCTCTTCTAATCTGAGTTTGTAACCCTGACAGGTGCCCCGACATGTTGGCTGCTCCATCATAGGTCTGTCCACGTAGACCTGAGAAAGGGAGGTCTAAACGGAGCAGCACATCAGAGGCAATTTTAAAAAGGTGTTCGCCAGTTGTTGAAGAAGCCTCGTACAGTCCAACAAACTCCTCCTTAGGCTCCAGGCCATCATCAACATACCGGAGGCATATTGAAACCTGTTCAGTGCCAGATATATCCTGGGTCCCATCCATTATTAGAGAGAACTGCAGTACAGGTAACCCATGGATTTCAGTTGTTATTTGTCTGATAAGGTTGTTGCTCATTAACATCAGCAGCTCATTTTGACACGCAGGACTTGTGTAGGAATGATACTTCTGCAGCCAGCTTGCCAGATTGGGGTCATTCTCAGCCTTCTCATCCAGATGCTGCTTGAAGTTTCCGTCATCATTGTCATGACCTCTGAGAGCTAGGCCCTGTTTAGCAAGGTACCTCACTGAACTAACAATTTCTATCAGTGCTGACCTGGCCTTCTCTTGTGCACTTTCTGAGATGCTGCATAGTTGCATTCTGACTGACCTGTGTGTGTGCGTGTGTGTGTTGACAGCAATTATGTGTGCCCTACTACCAGCGTGCCTGTCAAATGACTCCCTAGCCTTCTTCCAGTTTCTGAACCCCTGAGAAATAAAGGTATGTTCAGTTTTTTTTGCCATTGTTGAAATGTTCTTTTTAAAAGCAGTTGTGCAGTAGAAGCACAAAACTCCTTTTATTTCAGGACTGTAATGGAGCCAGGGGAAGATTTTGAACCAGCTCTCCTGGAAGTGAAGAGTGCGGTTCGGCAGAGTTTGTGGCTCAATGAGCTGTGCTGCTGGTTGGTATGGGGAACTTGGACCCTCAGCTGTATGGATCTCCTGGTTTGCATGTGGAGGGTTATCCTGCTTCCCGAGATCAGTAGCTGATGGCTCGACCTATAATGTAATTATTCAGTTGTCATTAGTTTCTTTACATAGTTCTCAGAAATGTTTTGATTCTACACTGTTCTCCAATTGGTCTACTATTGCCATGATGTTATATACACAACTTACTTTTCTGTTTGTATTTTAGTAGTAATTGTAGTGTTGTAGATCTGTTGTTTTAATCAAATCTGTTTTCCTTCCACATTTTTGTACAAGTTGAACCAATGCAAAGCCCTGCAGATGGATAAATCTTGCATATGTTTGCTTCCTGAACCCTCACCTGCTGAATCTGATCTGAGCTTGTTTCAACACTCTCCATTTCTTCATCCAGTGATTGCACTTGCTGTAAGAGTATACCAAAGTTGGTTTCATATTTACTGTAAGGTTATATGATTTTCTGTTGATGTGAATTTCACCTCTGCATTCTCAGCTGCCTGTTCCTGCGTGTCTTCATTTTCCTCTGTCACATGCTGTTCCTGATAGAAAAAGGGCATTCAAATAAACATTACAACTTGTGGGATTTGATTTTTTTTTTTTATTTGCAATGCAGCATAGACTTTGACTTAATTATCTTTGGTTTTGTTGGAAAAGTTTAGGTTCTTTGGGTGTCCATTATTTGACATCCAAAAATGAGACACATTCCTGAAGCACTGAACTTGTGTGTTGTTTACTTGAAGAAAGCTTTTGACTTTAAAATGTGCTGGTTCTTTGTGGTTAGAAAATATAAATAACTTCAGCTAGGCTAATAAGTCAAAAAGTGGAAAAAAAATATCTGTGGAAATAACTTAACGGTTTAAAAAAAGATACCCTGAAACAAATTGGTCAGTCATATGGGACAAAAACCTGATGCACTAAGACACATGTGACTCTAGGGGGTGCTGATTCCTACTGAACAAATGTAGTGCTATTTTGTAGTATCAATGCCATCAAAATCTGATTTAAGGTTAACACAGTTTTGCAAGGCTATGAAAGGGCTTGTTAAGGTCATGTAAGGGGTTAGGGTAATGCTGTTGGAATCTCACTTTTACACCCCCAAACTACTCTGAGACTTATTCATTTACACACTTCAACCTAAAAATGTATCCCTCTAATACTTTTTAGTTATGGATGGGTCATTTCACATAATAGGACCATTTGCTAGATGGGGACCTAGTTGGAATTAGTTAAACAGCACCACTCAGTAACAGGTGCAACTCCTGGATGTTAGTAGGCTACTGCAACCGTTCAGAACCATCCACTTGAGCAGGTCGGGAGTATATCACGGCTGTGCTGTTGTATTTATGTATTGTAAGATGAAGTCTTCTGAAAACGATGAAAACCTAGACATTTTATCAGTTTATGAAATCTTCCCAGATGCCCCGCCCTAATGGCACATAAAAAGCAAAAATGTCACGGAAAAAGAGTTTTGGTCACCTAGCATAAACTGGATGGTTTTTAACCGTTATTGCTGCTAGCTAACTGTTACCAGTAGAGAAACTTGCCCTCTTTTATCTACTACTAAGTAAGTCAATATTAAATGATAAAACTGGATATCTTAGTCTTTTTTGTAGGGATGCACTTACAGCACATTTTTTCTTGCCGAAAAACCACCTGATATCGGTTGCATTCTTTCTTTTCGACATGGTTGACGGACACCTACTTTTCACCTTCTTCACTTAAAAAAAAATCAATCCGGTAGTTCACGGACAGCTAGGTTGTGGGAGCGTGGAGTTGACCAGAGAGTGGAGCCTGATAAAGATGAGTATTTTTCTCTGAAAATCTAATTTGATAGTCACAAATAATATAACAAGGATATATATATATATATAATACACGATCTTTTTTGCTAGGCTAGCTACATGGATGTAAAGATTCCACCTTGCTTACAGGCTAATGGGGGGTTTTAGTGACGTTGGAAAAACAAAACAGGATTTTAAATAACTGTCAATACACTACTGTGCATATTGGAGTGAAACATTAAAAACTAATGAATACTTAAATATGCTAGCCTATTTAATGATTGTCCCCAGCAATTTTTAAACCCCAATCAAGTGTATGGTTATTGTCCCCAGCAATTCTAAAAACAAACTGACGCCCTTGACTTTAACCACTTAGTCGCAATGCTCTTTAGCTGATATGGGATTTATTTACTGGATGCTAACATCACATCACACTCACGGAGTAACACACACAGGCGCTCTGCTGCTACAGTCAGTGGAAGGTTATCATCTGGTGTAAAAAGGCGTTCATCACAATTCCCAGATCACGTTTTATTCCACGAAAATCGTCCGAATCCACATTAATCTGGGTGCTAGCTTTACTAGCATGTTGTGCTAGCGTTAGCAGGTCGGATGCTAATGCTAGCACGCTGCTAATGCCCGTAAATGAACGTGTACAGTAAAGTTAGCCGACATTTTAGAGTGATATGAAGCTTACCGCTCTGCTGCTGTGTCGAGCTGGGTCCAGCCAGCCGCGGGGCCTTTCTGCTGGGCTAAACTAGTTCGTGTCGCACCGCCACGGCTCAACAAAAGCCACCACACCTATAAAACACACTTTTGTTGCCTTTTCTAAGAGATGGTAATGACTCCAACTTGTTGTTTCCGTTTCGGATCTTTATTCCGGGTTACTGTTGGCCGCAGCCCACGTCTTAACTCCAGCAGAAACACCGTTAACGATCTCCGATCACACTAGCTCGTTTTCTTCTAAACAACCAAACCGGAACTCTGCACACAGCCGGCCAAGAACATCCCTTCAACATAAAAGTCCAACCATAACAAATCGCAACCCGTTACACTACTGTACAACGACGTAAGGCGTGAAACACATATATACTATATTTACGCACTTATGCCAACCATAATCGTAGTTTGAAATGATTTAAATATCTTGAAATGTTAATTTTTTGCCTTATTTTGAAAAGCCACTGGCTTTTTCCTCTCTAGCTGCGGTGCTTCACGTGCGCTTCTTATGAGAGACGGTAGCAGGGCCGTATCCAGAGTTTCTAAACTACCGAGGGCCACCATCCGTTATGCCATGCACATTGAGAACAAACTGAAGACTAAAGCTGATTTCAGATTTAATAATTTGTTTAACCCTCTGGAGGCAGGCGTTGCAGATTAGCAACTTAAAAACCTACCTATCTGGTTACTCCACATACGTACTTCATGAGCATTTTTGAACTCTGAAGTTCCCCTGAAGGACTTAGTTGTTCGTCCTTTTATCAAAACTTATTTTGAGCCTGAGAGGGTTAACATTAAAGTGACTTGTTTTAGTAAGAATAGTCCACACTATGGTGGGAGCTAATGAGGCTCTCAATAAATAAATAAATAATAAATAAAATAAAATAAATAAATTTAAACTGGACACTAAATTGTCTAAAGTTAAAAACTTAATATGGAGCACTCTTTTTTCATTTATTTTATTCAAATAAAAAACAAATAAAACACATAAACAATAAGAAAAAAATAACAAAATCAAATTTGATCGAAAAGGAGCAGAATGAAGAAAAATATCTTAAAATTTCTGCCCCCTTTTCCAGTAGAAATAATCAATTTATATATAATTAACATTTGTCACACACACACACACACACACACACACACACACACACACACACACACACACACACACACACACACACACACACACACAGATTCATTTTAAACTTTTTCCTGTTCTGAATTCCAGAGCGATCATGATCATTGATTTACTTTACATTTTCATAATTATTTAGTACACTCAATTTGGTAAATTTCTTGAAAATATTAAATAACTGAGTTTTTTTCATTTCCCTTTTAAGGTTATTCCATAATTAAACACCATTTACAGATATATTCCACTCCTTAATTTTAGTTCTAAATCTAGGTTTTGTAAACACATCAGTTTCTTTCAGCATGTAATTACATATGTAATTACTAGTTCTCTTTTCAAAAATCCCCTGAATGTTTGTTGGCAGAGTACCTAAACTGGCTTTATGCATGGTTTGTATGATTTTCCAGTCTTTTAAATCATGAAATTTCAGTAATTCATATTTAATAAACAATGGGTTCGATGGATCTCTACAGCCACTATAATTGAAGATTCTCAGAGCTCTTTTCTGTAAAATAAATAAGGGTTGTGTATAGTTTTTGTATGTTGCTCCCCAGATTTCTACACAATAAGTCAAGTATGGAACAATCAGTGAATTGTACAATGCCAACAAACCAGAATTAGTTAGTAAAAACTTGACTTTATGTAATACTCCTAAGGATTTAGCTATTTTAACGTTTATGTAACTAATATGGGATTTCCATGACAAGTCTTCATCAATAAGTACTACAAGAAATTTAGTTTCTTGTACTCTGAATTTTAATCCCATCTATTTCCAATGACACATCACTGTTCTTATTATCATTAAACAGTATAACATTTGTTTTATTAAGATTCAGTGTCAACCTATTTATATCAAAATAGTTTTTAATTTTAATCAGTTCATCATTTATCACTTTAGCCACCTCCTCAATATTTGATCCTGAGTAAAACAGTGTTGTATCATCTGCAAATAGAATGGTACCGAGTGTCTTAGATACATTTACCAAGTCGTTAATAAACAAAATGAACAGTTTTGGTCCGAGGACCGACCCTTGTGGCACTCCACAATTAATTTCACATGGTTTTGATTTATGGTCCCTTATCTGAACAAACTGTTTCCTTTTTTCTAAATAAGTTTTAACCCACTGATGAGCCACACCTCTTATTCCATACTGACTTAATTTTCTAAGTAACCTTGAGTGATCAATGACGTCAAAAGATTTTTTTCAAATCAATGAAAACACGAACAAAGTCATTTTTATTGTCAACTGCTGTTGATATTTTATCAGTTAATTCCATTATTGCCATTGCTGTGGAATGTTTAGTTCTAAACCCATATTGTTCATTGTTTAAAATATTATTTTTTTCGATGAATTTATCCAACCTTGATGCAAATACTTTTTCCAAAATTTTTGAAAACTGTTGAAGCAGTGAGACCAGCCAGTAATTATTGAAACTATGTTTATCACCACTCTTGTACAAGGGAATACTTTCGCTGTTTTCATTGCGTCAGGAACCTTTCCAGTAGAAAGTGATAGATTACAAATGTAAGTGAATGGTTCAATGACAGATTCTACGATGGTTTTAACAGTTATCATGTCCAGGTCCTGATAATCGGTTGATCTTAGAACAGAACACATTACTGCTGGGTGTTACATTAACATGTGGCTCTCTTGTTTCTGACAGGAGCTTCTGATGTGGAAGCAGAGAAAAGTGCAGGAAGGTGGAGCAGTGAAGCCCAGAGATTTTGGCCTGGCACCTGAGCCCAGGAGAGAGGGAGGGGCTCCAGCTGCAGCAGAATCAAGCTCCAGCCGGGGAAGCTAAAGTGGCTCCTTCAGCTGCTTACAAGGAGGACGACGATAAAGCTCCGCCAGTAGGACAGTCTCAAAAGCAGAGTGAGCTGGGAGCTGAAGGAGTCCCGCTTGGAAAGAAAAGTCCTGATGACATTCAGCCTGTGGTCCAGAATGGTATTGCTGAAGAGGTGAAAGGTGAGGAGAAAAGCATAGACAAGCAAAAGGAGACAAGTGAACTTCTAAAAAAAGAAAAGCTGGAGAAAAAAGTTGGTGAAACTGTTGCCAGTCCCCACATGCCAAAGACAGTGGCAAGAAATGGGGTCAAAAGGTGAGCCACAGAGATAGCTTGGACCCACACTGAAACACACTGAACTGGCTTATGCGAGTAAAATCAGCCAGAAGACAGGAGCCCAGCTGCACAACAAGCATCCAAGCTGGGAGCAAAACTGGGCTGCAGGTCAAAACTGTGGTCAGGAACGAGGGTCACAGAAGGGTCACAGGGACAAGAGGACAGAACTGGGCAAAAGGTCAGGAGGCTGACCCAACCTCTGGCAGGAGCAGGAAAAGAAGGACTGGAACAGAGTGAAAAACAGCTCATCGGATCAAGAAGCCCTCTCAGGAATGCTGAAGGGAGACCGACAATTTGCTACAAACATGATGATGTAATGACCTGTGTTAAGAAGAATGCTGCATGTAGTGAAAATGATACCAAATGTCTTGTGTTGAGCTAAAAAGTGTGTATCTGGTAAATGACCCCATGACCTTAAGCTGGCCCAGGAAGGGTATAAAAGAGCAGCTCTGAGAGAGCTGGGGGATAGACGACACAGAGCTGGGGCAGACGATAGAGAGAGATAGAGCAGATTTGGAGAGGTCATCCTCCGTCCTCTGGACGGGGGAATGACAGGTCAGTTTTTTGGAGAGAAGCAGAAGAGGACAAGTTTGGGGTAGTCCACAGAAGACAGAGTTGGTGTAAATGAACTCCTTATTTCTTAATTAATCATTAGAACTAATTCCTCCTTGGGGGAAGTGGTTAAACTTATATTTACTCATTTTTGTATTTTTTAATCTTGTAATAAACTTTTTGGAAAAAGATCTACATTCCTGATTCTTTCAGGTTTTCTCTAAAGCTTAACGGTTGGAGCCCTGACCATATTGCACAGAGGTAAGCACATTAATTATAGGTTCCTGAATTATCAGGATTTACTTTACGGTTTGTGACAAATTAATTAAAGAAACTTTAAGATAAGAGGAGCTTGTCTCCTCCCTCTCCCGCGAGTAACGAGATGTCTAAAGGATGATAAAATCAAAACATTAGAGATTAATTTTGGCTCTGATTGCAGGTTGAAAAAGTCTCTATCAGCGCTGGGAGGTTGGATTAATTAAATAAATTGATAAATCTATGTTAGCCTGATTAACTAACAAGAATCATTTTATAGTTACCAACCACCCACATAAGCTGATAGGGGCGCAATTAATCCAAATAACCCAAACAATTGCCAGTCGGGCTGGCCTCCCGCCGGGCTTCGTCCGTAGTATCTAAACCAAAGATAACGGGATTGATTAAAAAGAAATGGGCTATTACAAAGGGACAAGTCTTTCATATCATTTCACCTTTAAAATAGAAGATATGATTCTAACTTAGGGAGTCCAAACCAGGGTCTAGTACGATAAAACTCATCAATATCCCCACCGAACCCTGACAGATGCACAGTCTCATAAGTTATAACGGAACTGGGTTTAACGGAACCGACAAATGGGATGTGCACGCGACAAAACAAACAAGAAAGAAAAGCATGATGTGGATCTGAAGGAAAGAATGAGCAAAGAAAAGCAGCAGGAAAAGGAATGATTGGAAACAGAGAAAAGAGAGGAGGTGCTCAGAGAGCAGGAGCTGCAGGAGCTGCAAGAAGCAAAGCTCACACGGCGCGTCAGAGAGCCGACAGTGAAATAAATGACAGAGCCAAGAAGGTGCTGCAGGTGGAGGAGGCTCAGGAGCGGCTGGCCCAGCTGCAGAGGGTCATGGAAGCCAAAGTTGCTGGGAAAACTCAGGGGAGCAAGGGAGGAGAAGGAGAAGCTCTGAAGAATGAAGGGCGGGACCTCAAAGAAGAAGCTTGGCCCATTCCTCCATGCAGATCTTCTCGAGAGCAGTGATGTTTTGGGGCTGTTGCCGAGCAACACGGACTTTCAACTCCCTCCACAGATTTTCTATGGGGTTGAGGTCTGGAGACTGGCTAGGCCACTCCAGGACTTTCAGATGCTTCTTACGGAGCCACTCCTTTGTTGCCCGGGCGGTGTGTTTGGGATCATTGTCGTGTTGGAAGAACCAGCCAAGTTTCATCTTCAAAGCTCTCACTGATGGAAGGAGG